TTAACTGTACTCTTGTAACGTGGGAATGGACCGAAGAAGCTTGCCTGGAAAACCAGATGTAGGTAACTCGTTAACCACAATGTAAAGGGCTCTCTGTGGGTGCTGTCACCGAGAAGAGGGGATTGAGTTGCACCTGGAGGCAGGAGAAGGAGTAACGGATAAAAGACATTAAAGAGAGATGCAGCCTGGAAACCATTTCCTGGTAGTGAGAACAATTAATCGGGGGAGCTGCTGGCCTCCCAGAAGCTCCGTCACTGCAGGTTTTCAAAAATAAGACTAGACAAGCATTTGACTGGGATGCTACAGAGCCGTGCTTCTCCACCTTGGTGGTTTGAAGACGGGTGGAGAAACATTAGTATTATATGGCTTGCAGAGAGAGTAAGAGATCAGACAACTTTCTCATACAAAGGTAGAGGAGTGAACTCAGGGGTCCTCAACCTTGGCAACTTTAAGACTTGTGGACTTCAATTCCCAGAATTCCTCAGCCAGCAAAGCTGGCTGAGGAATTCTGGGAGTTGAAGTCCACAAGTCTTAAAGTTGCCAAGGTTGAGGACCCCTGAACTAGAGGAAAAGCTATACTGAGCCAGAACTGGATGCCGTACTCCAAGTGTGGCATTACCAAAGTGTTGTAAAGTGGTATTAACACATCACATGATCTTGATCCTGTTTATACAAACCAGGATTGTACTAGCTTTTTTGGCGGCGGCTGCCCATGGCTGGCTCTTGATCAAGTGATCGTCCACTAGGACCCCCAGGTCCCTCTCACAGTGACTGTTTTTGAGCCAGGTCTCACCTAATCTGTACTTGTATCTTTGATTTTTCCTGCCTAAATGTAAAACTTTGCTTTTCTCCTCATTAAAGTTCATTTTGTTGGAGAGGGCCCATTGTCCAACTCTGTCAAGATCTTTTTGAATCCCGTCTTCTGGGGTGTTGGCTACTCCTGCCAGTTTGGTGTCATCTGCAAATTTGATGGGTTCCCCTTCTATTCCCTCATCTAAGTCATTGATGAAGATACTGAAGAGTCCTAGGCCTAAGAGGGAACCTTGTGGTACCCCACTGCTTACTTCTCTCCATATGGATGTAGTGCCATTGAGGACTACTCGCTGAGTACGGTTTGTCAGCCAGCTACAGATCCATCTGGTAGTGATGTTGTCTATCCCACCTTTTCCTAGCTTATCAAGGTCAAGCAGCCCAAAGGCAAATTGTCCCTCGGCACAAGGACCCCAGACTGGAACAGGGACCCTGAGGAAACCCATCCCAGGCCTCAAGCGTTTTTGATGTTTTCCCTGGATAGGGCAGGGATAGGCAATCTTGGCTCTTTTATGACTGGTGGACTTCAACTCCCAGAATTCCTGAGCCAGAGTGGGGGAACTATGGCCCCCTTCATGACTGGTGGACTTCAACTCCCAGAATTCCTGAGCCAGAGTGGGGAACCATGGCTCTTTTATGACTAGTGGACTTCAACTCCCAGAATTCCTGAGCCAGAGTGGGGAACCATGGCCCTTTTATGACTGGTGGACTTCAAATCCCAGAATTCCTGAGCCAGCATGGAGGAACTATGGCCCCTTTATGACTGGTGGACTTCAACTCCCAGAATTCCTGAGCCAGCATGAGGGAAACTTTGGCCCCTTCATGACTGGTGGACTTCAACTCCCAGAATTCCTGAGCCAGCATGGAGGAACTATGGCCCCTTTATGACTGGTGGACTTCAACTCCCAGAATTCCTGAGCCAGCCATGCTGAGGGGAAAGGGAGAGGTTTCCAAGCTGAGCCATGCTGGCTCAGGAATTCTGGGAGTTGAAGTCCACCAGTCATAAAGGGGCCATAGTTCCTCCATGCTGGCTCAGGAATTCTGGGAGTTGAAGTCCACCAGTCATAAAAGAGCCAAGGTTGCCTCCCTCTGGTATAGGGACTCCTGTGCACACCCAGATCTTGCATGGGGTCTGAGTGATGGGCTGAGCCACACTTTAGTTGCCTTTCAGACCTCAGAAATAACCAGAAATGAAACAAAGGAGTCTGTCCAGAGATGTCTGTGGACCTTCTCCATCCTCCAGGTCTCACACCTGTCCCAAAGGTGTTATTTTCCCCAAAAGCAGCTGGACTTTCTTGGTCGTTTTCCTTGAAAATGTCTCGCTTCTCATCTATGAAGTGTCTTCAGTTCTGACTGAATAGTGGGGAAGGGAAGGGATTATATTCTTTGCAATCATCTGAGTTACACGTCTTGTTCAGTGTCCATGCTAGCTGTTTCCGCTGGGCGCCTCCGTTTCTTTTCACTGTGGGCTCTGAAGTGACTGCATAATGCATTTTGACTTTCCCTCCTGCTTCTCTTAAAGGGCTCATTTACATGGTCATGTTTAATACGATGGGATGTTAATATGTAGTATGTTTAACTCATAGTGCATGTTCTCCAAAGCGCCTGAAGGCAGGACGAGAAGCAACGGATGGAAACTCATCAAGGAGAGAAGCAACCTAGAACTAAGGAGAAACTTCCTGACAGTGAGAACAATTAACCAGTGGAACTCCTTGCCTCCAGAAGCTGTGAATGCTCCAACACTGGAAGTTTTTAAGAAGAGACTGGACAACCATTTGTCTGAAATGGTATATAGGGTTTCCTGCCTGAGCAGGGGGTTGGACTAGAAGACCTCCATGGTCCCTTCCAACTTTATTATTATTATCAACCTGCCTCCAGAAGCGGTGAATGCTCCAACACTGGAAGTTTTTAAGAAGATACTGGACAGCTATTTGTCCGAAATGATATAGGGTTTCCTGCCTGAGCAGGGGGTTGGACTAGATGACCTCCAAGGTCCCTTCCAACTCTGTTATTCTGTTATGTCTCTGATATAACCAGGGGGGGATAAATGTTGGACTTAATCCACTATTTTTTTTGTTCTTTTTTTTCTGCCCAACTCAGAATAAAAGGGAAAACTCAGCTTTTTTCCCCTGGTTTTCCTCTTTGGAGACAGAAGCCTTTGAGCTGAAACGCTACAATAAAATTGTTAAATGATCTTCCGAGTCAGTGGCTAATCGGAGCGGGCGGGCAGAGAAGGAATCTGAAGGCAGCTATGTGAACGTTACGATTGGTGGACTTCAACTCCCAGAATTCCTCAGCCGCCCTGGGAATTCTGGGAGTTTGGTCCACAGGTGGTAAACTTGATGCCATCATTCCCCTCCCTGGCCTTAGGCCAATTGGGGTCCCTAAACTTTTGGTTTGGAGGTGCCCCTCTGTGCTAGGGGAGACAGGAGGTAGCAAGAAACACCTGTAGGAAATTCTTTTATTGCTCTGAATTAACAGGAAAAATATAAATATATATGTATGTGCTAAACCTAGAACGCAATATAGTGTCAACGTGATTAAACGGAAAATGCGAAAAACTAAAGGCTAAACAGAAACCCTGCTCAGAGGATCTCATTGCTCAGAATTCAGCAAGGGGGTCTTTTAAGCAACTTAGGCAGGAATTAGAGTAGGGGGTGTCTAACCTTGGGGGCTTTAAGACCTGTGGACTACAGCTCCCAGAATTCCCCAGCCAGCTTTGCTGGCTGGGGAATTCTGGGAACTGTAGTCCACAGGTCTTAAAGCTCCCAAGGTGGGATGGACAGCCTGGATTAGAAGGAGCTCTTTATTGTGTAAACCCTGAGTAGCCCCTCCAGACCCTGAACCATGTCCCCCCTCCCCAGAAGAGCAAGAGGGACCCCTGCAGAGGCCCCCAAAAGAGATTCCCAGGGCGAGACGGAGGGTGAAGCCCCTTGCGGGGGATGGAGGCAGTCTGCAGCTGGAAGAGTCTGAACCAGTAGAGAGTCCTCGACGTACGACACAATTTAGCCCAAAGTTCCTGTTGCCGAGCGAGATGGACGTTAAGTGAGTTTTGCCCCATTTTACGTTCTTTCTTGCCATAGTCGTTACGTGAATCCCTGCAGTTGTTAGGAACACGGACGTTAAGTGACTCCGGCTGGCCTCGTTGACTTTGTCGGTCAGTAGGTCGCCAAAGGGGATCAAGTGAATAGAATAGAATATAGAATAGAATATAGAATAGAATAAATAGAATAGAATAGAATAGAATAGAATAAGAATAAAAATATAATAGAAATAAGAATATAATAGAATTAGAATAGAATAGAATAGAATGTAGAGTAGAATAGAACAGAATAGAATATAGAATAGAATAAATAGGATAGAATAGAATAGAACAGAATAGAATAGAAATAAGAATAGAATAGAATAGAAATAGAATAGAAATAGAAGTAATAATAGAATAAAATAGAATGTAGAGTAGAATAGAATAGAATTAGAATAGAATAGAAATAATAGAACAGAATAGAATAGAAATAGAATAGAAGAATAGAATAGAATAGAATTAGAGTAATGATGAGAATAGAATAGAATAGAATAAGAGTAATGATAAGAATAGAATAGAATAGAATAGAATTAGAATACAGAATAGAATTAGAACTATAGAATAGAATAGAATAGAATAGAATAGAGCTGGAAGAGACCTTGAAGGTCTTCTAGTCCAGCCCCCCCTCAAGCAGGAGAACCTAGACCGTCTCAGACAGGTGAGTATGACTCCGTTGCTCAGCATTTCAATTTTGATCACGTAACCATGGGGATCAAGTCCTAAGTCGCTTTTTTCAGTGCCGCTGTAACTTCGAACAGTCACTAAGTCAACGGCTGTAAGACGGGGACTGCCTGTAGTAACAATATCCAAACTGGAGGAAGAACAGAACTTTCCCATCCTGTGGGCTGCCCATCCCGCTCTGTCCATCTGCCTCTTCTGACTCCCAGCCTTGCTGGTCCCCAAACCCCCGTCCGGCCTTCCTTCCCGAAGCACCATGAGGGCTGGGGGGGGAGCGGTTAAGGAAGCTGGTGCCCAGGTCCTGCGGGTGGCAACGGGCACCCGCCTTGGAGATTTACGGTGGGGTTTTGGCCCGAGGATCCACACCAAGAAGGGCCTGCCAAGAGCCCCTCCTGGGCACCGCTGGGGCACCCCGGGGAATGCCAGTGGCTCAGGGCCCCCCCAAGTCACAGTCAAACTCCAAGAAGGCAGCAGCGTCCGCTGGGGGGCTCTTGAGTTGCTGCCAGCCCAAGGCAAAGTCTGCCGGTTGCTTCCTGAGGATGTCGGCATCGAAGCTCATGCCGCAGAAGAAGAGGTGGGCGCGGAAGTGGTGGAGACGGCAGGGCCGGCGCTGAGGGTCCTGGCACAGGAGCTGGGAGGGGGAGAGAGAGGGAGCGGGGGCTACTTGACAAGCACCTGGATGATGCTTGTTCAGGTGTAGGCCTTCCCCAATCCTGGGGGGCTTCCGACTCAGCGGAAGAATAGAATAGAATAAAATAGAACAGAAATAAAACAGAATTACCACAGAATAGAATAGAATGGAACGGAATATAGAATAAAATTAGATTAGATTAGATTAGAATAAGAACAAGAATTAGAATAGAAATAATATATAATATAAGAATAGAATATAATAAGAATTAGAATAGAAATAATATAATAAATATAATATATAATATTAGAATATAATAAGAATTAGAATAGAAATAATACAATATAATGTAATGTAATGTAATAATATAATATAATAATAGAATAGAATGTAGAATAAAGAATAAGAATTAGAATAGAAATAATATAGAATAGAATAGAATAAGAATTAGAATAGAAATAATAATATAATAAATAGAATAGAATAAGAATTAGAATAGAAATAATACAATATAATATAATGTAATAATATAATATAATACAATAGAATACAATACAATAGAATAGAATAGAAAATAAAATAAAATAGAATAGAAATATAGAATAGGATAGGATAGGACAGGGTAGAATAGGATAGGAGTTTGTAAGGGACCTTGGAGGTCTTCTAGTCCATCCCCCTGCTCAAGCAGGAGAACCTAAACTATTTCAGATAAATGGATAAGGACTCGCACAGCCCCCCTTGCAGAACCCTCTGTAAGCAGGAAAATCCAGATCTTCATAGATTCTTGGGGGGGGCTTCCACAGAAGGGGGTGCAAATGGGTTGGGGGGGGCAGGAGAGGGTCGTGAACTCACCTCGCTGAGCAGGAGTCGGAGGCCCCAGCTGAGTCCGGCCGGGATGGCGTATGTGCTGCGCTTCACGCTCCGCAGCATGGCCACGTGGTCCCGCTCTGGGGGGACAGGGAACTGGGGAGGCAAAGACCCCATTCACCCCACGCCTCTTTGGCTGCTGAGCCACCTCGCAAGCGGGCAGCAGCCGCCGCAGATCCTCCCCCTCGACCCCTCGGGACAGAACTGAGGGTCAGCCAGGCAGAGTTGTAAAACAGCAGCAGCCCTTTGGACTTATATACCGCTTCACCCGGTGCTTGACAGCCCCCCCTCTAAGCAGTTTACAGAATCAGCCTCTTGCCTCCCCCCCCCAACAATCTGGGTCCTCGTTTTACCGACCTCGGAAGGACGGCAGGCTGAGTCAACCCTGAACTGATCAGGATCGAACTGCTGGCGGCGGGCAGAGTTGGCCTGCAAATGCTGCGTTCTAACCATTGCGACACCAAAGGGGGCACTGGCACCAAAGAGGCTTAAACAAGCCAGAGTGGAACCACGATGGCTTAGTGGAGCTCAGCCCCTGCCTCCCTCTCTGCCTCTTTGGCGCTTATCCTAGAAACCTAGGGCTGGAAGGGACCTTGGAGGTCATCTAGCCCTACCCCCTGCCCATTCAACCTCAGACAAACAGTTGTCCAATCCTGGAAACCTCCAGTGATCCAGCCTGTCTGGCTGCTAGTGGGGACAGGTTCCTGGGGTACCGAGGGACCCCCCCCCTCCTTGTCCTTACCTGTCCAGTGGCCATCGCAAACAGCAGCACCCCCAGGGACCACCAGTCGGCGGCGTGGGCGTACGGACCGCCTCTCAGCACTTCTGGGGCTGCCCCAAAGGAAGAGCAGAGGGTCACTCATCTCGTCTGCCCGTCTGACCCCCCCCTCTTCCCCCCCCACAGCCTCCCCCTCTCCTGCCGACTGCCTTACCCATGTATTGGAGGGTCCCGCAGATGGTGAAGGCTCGCTGGCTCCAGGGCAGATGCCGCGAGAGGCCGAAATCGGCCAGCTTCAGGTGACCTAGGCCAGGTGGGGCATAAAGCAGAGAGAGATCCTGAATCCAGAGCAACCAAGGTAGTCCCCAACTTACGGCTACAATTTCTGTCGGTAAGCGAGACATTTGTTGGGTTTTCCCCATTTTACGACCTTTCTTGCCACAGTTCTTAGTGCGGTCGTTAAGTGAGTCACACGGTTGTTAAGGGAATCCGTCATCCCCCACTGAGCTTGCTGGTCAGAAGGCCGCAGAAGGGGATCACAGGACCCCGGGACACTGCGACCGTCGTAAATGTGAGTCAATTGCCAAGCGCCTGAATTTCGATCACGTGACCAGGAGGATGGCGCAACGGTCGTTAACTGTGAAAAACGGTCCCAAGTCCCTTTTTCCACCACCGCTGTAACTTGGAACGGTCAGTAAATGAACCGTTGTAAGTCGAGGACTACCTGTAGGGCAGCTTGGACTGTCTTGGACTTCAACTCCCAGAATTCCTGAGCCTTCAAGTTATGACGTTAATAGAGCCCACCCACGATAGTCGTAAGTCAGAACAGGATTAAAATTTTATCTCGTTAAAATTTGAAGCAGCCGTTAAGCGAACGCTGCGTCGTTAAGCGAACCATCAGGCGCAGCTTTGCCAAAAACCAGATGGAAGGGCCGGTTTTCAGCAAAACGGTCGTCAAACGGGACCACGGGAGCGTCCGATGCGTGGTCACGTGACCGCAGAGGGAGTCCGACTATCAGAACTCTGGGGCTGGGTCCTGAGTCCGCTTTTTTGGGGGGTGGGCTGGTTGTAACTTCAAATGTTTGCTGGGGTCCCTCTGAATGGGCCGGGCCAGGAATTCTGGGAGTTGAAGTCCACAGGTGGTCAAGTTGCCCACAGCAGCCCAATCCTGGTCTGGAAGCTGCTGGGCGAAGGGAGAGCCGTCCTTCTGCCCCCCTGCGTGGGGGGAAACTCTGTCTCAGAGCATCCAGCCTGGGCTGGGTAACAGCTGGCTAAACAGCTGGTTCAAGACTGGAGCATACTTGAAGGATCAATCTCAAGAAAAATTTATCTTGGTATGGAGAAGATGGATAGATTATATGAAGAGAAAGTATGAAGTGATTAATTATCATATAGCTTTTGAATAAATATTTTTCTTTTCTAATATTTTTTATATATTTAATATAATTTATATATATATATTATTGAATATATATATATTGAATTTGAACACTGGGCACTATCTAACTTGAACACTGGGCACTATCTAACAAAATGAAATTCAATGGTAAAAGCAAGGTTCTACATTTAGGCAAGAAAAACCAATTGCACAAGTACAGCATAGGTGGCACCTTGCTCAATAGTAGTAACTGTGAGAGGGACCTCGGAGTCCTAGTGGACAATCACTTAGATAGGAGCCAGCCGTGTGCTGCAGCTGCCAAAAAGGCCAACACAGTGCTGGGCTGCATTAACAGAGGGAGAGAATCAAGATCACATGAAGTATTAATACCACTTTACAAGGCCTTAGTAAGGCCACACTTGGAATACTGCATCCGGTTTTGGTCACCACAATGTAAAAAAGATGTTGAGACTCTAGAAAGAGCGCAGAGAAGAGCAACAAAGATGATCAGGGGACAGGAGGCTAAAGCATATAAGGAAAGGCTGCTGGAATTGGGTCTGTCTAGTTTAATGAAGAGAAGGACGAGGGGGGACAGGATAGCAGTGTTCCAGTATCTCAGGGGCTGCCCCAAAGAAGAGGGAGTCAAGCTATTCTCCAAAGCGCCTGAAGGCAGGACAAGAAGCAAAGGGTGGAAACTAATCAAGGAGAGAAGCAACCTAGAACTAAGGAGAAACTTCCTGACAGTCAGAACAATTAGCCAGTGGAACAACCTGCCTCCAGAAGCGGTGAATGCTCCAACACTGGAGGTTTTTAAGAAGAGACTGGACAGCCCTTTGTCCGAAAGGGTATAGGGTTTCCTGCCTGAGCAGGGGGTTGGACTAGATGACATTCAAGGTCCCTTCCAACTTTACTATTATTATTATTATTATTATTATTATTATTATTATTATTATTATTATTATTATTATTATTATTATTATTATTATTATTATTATTATTAGTTTATTATTGTATGTTAGAGTTAAAGTATGTTAATTTTGTTGTATTATGAATGGATAGCTTAATTTAGACTTGGGATGTTATGTATTTATCCCTGTAC